TCTCATTAATAGATTGAGTTAGGGTGGTGACTTAAAAAAAAAACAAATACTAATAGCGTGACTTACATTTCTCAAGTTGACCTTTTCACTTAATTTTAAATTTTTAAGTCACCACCCTACCATTTTTTTTATTATTATAAAGTTGGAATATTTACATTTCATATTGAATGCCTCACGTGATGAGTTCAATCAAATGCCTAGAAAATTGAGAAAACTAACTTAATATACTAGTGGATAATTAAGGAATATTTGATAGCACGGTAAATGTTTATTTTTAAAGTGTTTTTTTACTTGGAAATATATTAAAATAATTTTATTTTTATTTTTTTAAAATTTATTTTTAACATCAATATATCAAAAACATTAAAAATATTTAAAGCAAAAATTTTTTTTAATTAAAAACAAAAAAACATATTCAACCTCAATATCAAACAAATACTTTAGTTTATATAACTGTGTTAGGTTATTAGTTGGAAAATTGTTTTTTAAATGTAAAGAAAAATATATAAATATTATTAATGTATTTTTTTATTTGTAAGTAATTTTTTTTCAGTTATTGAGATGATAACATCTTCAGTCAATTTAGATCAACTTAAATTATCACACCAAATATATAACTTGAATCAAATATAAATATAAACACATAAATCAAACTTGATCATTGTAGTTATTGGCAGAGTGAAAACTAATAATTTTTTTCTCTCATCTTTCAATGAACTAAAAAATAACAAGATAAATTTGTGTATCAAATTGAAAAGGTCACAAATTTTAAGTTAGTCACATGTTTCCTTCATGTTTTATGTTCTAGTCTTTTATCTTTTAATTTGTTATTTTAATTATAATTTCAAGCCTAATCTCATCTTGTCATGCTGCAAAGAGTTTAATTGAAAGAATTTTTTTTAAAAAAGCTTCACTATTCATATAAAACAGTAAAGCTCCATCAAGCTTCCAAATTCTTTAAGATGTAGTAGGTGATAATGCTTTAGTTTCAATAGCACTAGATAGATGACTCTTGCTAGTTTCCAAGTTTTTGTAAGAAAGAACTTAAAACAAAATTGAACAAACTTAAATTAAGTTAATATTTAAAATTAATGATTTGAGTCATGAGATCGGAATTACCCCATAAAACAACACAAAAAAAAATAAAAGCTAAATTTCTAATTATAAAAAATTAAACAACAAAATAAATTGCAATTAGAACAATGAGGACCAAATTTGCTATAAAAATAAAATGAAAATAATAATAATTAGGAACTAAATTAAAAAATATAATTAAAAAAAATGAAAAAAAAAGTAATCAAAGAATGAAGATTAAAATTAGATAAAAAAACAAAATAAAATAGAATGTTGATGGATAAAATTAAAAAATAGATCAAAAATAGAAAAATAAAAAATAAAAATCAAATTCGATAAAAATATAAAATAAAATAAAATGCTTAGGAATAAAATTGAAAAAAAACCCTTTAAAATACATCAAAATCAATATAAATAATAATTAAAATAATAAGAATGAAAATTAAAATAAATACAAACAAGAAAGCACCATTGAATTTTGGAAGGTTAGGCATGATTTCTTAGGTCAAGAGAAAGAAACAAAGGGAGAGGAGAAAAAAATTCACCACCACTAAACCGTCATGAATATTATCACACGCGTCACCTCATTAGCTGCGTTATCATTGGATGCTTCGGAAGACACAATAATTTGTCATTTTAATAGTAGGACGTTGTCACACGTGTCACCCAAAAAGTGAGTGTAGTGTTCATTTGTTAGTGCATGTTTTGATAATATTTTTTTTAATTTTAAAAAATTAATTTGTCTTTTATTCAAATTAAGTATAAAAAAACCATGATGAATATTTTAAAAAAACCCTTGGAAATAAGTTTTATAATTGTTTTTTTTTTTATTTTAAAGGTAATTTAGCCTTTTAATAATTTTGAAAAAAAATGAAGAGACCAAGACAGCCGTAAAATAAGGTTTTTATTTTTTTATTTTAAGGGTATTATAGTAATTTCATGGAAAGAGACTGTTTTATCCCCAGTTAATTTGTCGTCAGCACCCGCCTCCTTTCCCTTAACAGCTGCCTATCGTAGCAGCAGAAAACAGATCAAGTTTCTGCACCAGGAAACCTCCAGGCAGCACCAAAAAGGTTTGGTCATCAGCACCAGCCTCCTTTCCTTTAACAGAAGCAGCAGCTGCTGCAACTGTCAGACATCCCGGCAGTGCAGTAGGTCCCATTCCAGCAAATCAGACCAGAGCAACAGCAGCAGCAAAGATGCAGCTTCCTCACAGCAGTAGCAGCTTGAATCTCCACGTAACAACAGCTTCCAAATTACAATAGCAGAAGGTTTGCGTAGCAGCAGAGTAGCCAAAACAGCAGCAGCAGCAGATGTAGTGTTCGTTTTTGCGGTGACACCACACTTTTGAAAATTCAAAAGCTGATTTTTGTATTTGCTTCAATTTTTTTTTTAATTTTTGAATTGTTTTAGTGTGATAATATCATAAATAAATCTGCAAAAATAAAAAAAATTATTCTAAAATATTTCTAAACAAAAATAATTTAAAAATTATCCGCTATTACAATATTGAAGAATGCCTTAAAAAAAAAGCAGCAGTAAGCACAGAAGCAACAATTTTTAACCAACGCATCAACCTCAAAAGGTGGCAGATGAAAATCAGCCCCCAATCGCAGCGGAAAAGAGCGTCTGGAATTAGCAAATACTGGTAGCAATAAGGAACTTCTACGGCAGTAGCCATTCCAACACAAAAAATAAATCAAGGCTTCAGATAATTTTGTTATCCATGCTTTGATGGTAATTATGATCGTTAAAGCATGTTAATGGAGAATGTTTTAAGGCCAAAGGAGTATCGGTAAATCCTTTATCACTTGGGGAAGAAGAAAAAGAACAGAGAGAGAATGTGACACGTAAGATAACAGGGACAGCATGATTTATTAATTCACGAAAACTCTCAAAACAAAAACTAAGTGGTGGTTGCCGAGAAATTTCCAAAACACCTTAAATATATAATGATGGTGATCAAGATAATCAATGATGGAATTTCTCATTGCAAGAATGATTCGGCCCTGCTTCAGATTGGATCGCAAATATTTAATTTTTCATCAAGCGTCCTGATCATAAGAGAAAATGACAGAGGCACTGACTGACTCATCATAAGAGAAAATGACAGAGGCACTGACTCACACAAAGAAGGGTTTGTTACAAGGAAAACACAAGTAAATACTTAACTGAAGACGATGGTAGGTCTCCAGACACATATTGAAGCAAACAGGTACTTTTTCAAAATGCCAATCATCTTCTTCTGGCCTTCCCTTGCCTGGAATGGGAGCGGCAAGGGAGGTGGAACCCGTCTTCTTCTGGCCTTCCCTTGCCTGAAATGGGAGCGGAAAGGGAGGTGGATCCAAGGTAGAGACTTCATGACTTCCTTGTAGCAGTCCTTCATAGTAGTCATAAAGGCAATATATAAAGGGAACTGCATTACTGCAAATACTGACACGGGAAGGAAAGCAGCCATGGACATCAGACCTGTGGTCCATCGCTTCTTCAAGCGAATGACTAAAAGAAGAGTGCAAGAAAAAGCAAGCATGGTTGTCATCACTGAGAAGAAGAGCAAAGTAAAGCCCCATATCAGTTTCCGAGGAATACTGTGATAGAATTTCTCGCATTCAAAAGGAGTGGTGAGGATAGAAAGGAACATCACAACTGAGGTCAAGGAGCTCGCTAAGGCGGTAACATCCAAGACAGTGAAAGCTAAGAAGAAACGGTTGTGAAGGAAAATGGGAAAGCCAAGATCGTTAGAACCTCCAGGTATAGTGTAAGCGGCAGCAAAGACAACGGTGGCCAAAAGAACGGCTACTGCTGAGCATGACTGAGAGGTTTTCTCGATCCAATCTTGCGCCAACTTTAGTTGAACTTTATGCTCCTCTTGGAAGAGCTCGAATGCAGTCATGAGTTCGTCATTCGAAAGCCCCCCCTTACGTGTGCAACTTGGTGCAACAATGTGAAGCCATTATTATCTACGCTCGAACTCAGCCTGGTCACTAGTATGTTCTTTTTCTTTACAAGACGGAAAATCTCCCGCCGTCGATGCATCACGGCCACATGCAATATGTTTTGCCCCTCATCATTCAAAAGCTCAATAGCCTGAGGAAATTTATCAAGTATCTCTTCAGCAATCTCTAATATTCCATTACTAGTTGCTATAAACAACGGGTTTGGAGGTGAAGGAGGCCTCTCTTGTCTTCTATTTTCTTCTATCTTTGGTTGAACATTTTCATTATTTTCTACCCCTCCTCCTCCCCCTCCTTTTCCTGTGTCCACTTCTTCTCGTGCTCCGTCTTGTCCTTCGCGTCCTCCTCCTGGGATTCCTCCCCCTCCTTGTCTTTCACTTTGTCCTCCTCTTCCTCCTTGACCAGGGGTATCGATATTAACTTTGTTAGTCTTCACTGTGATAGATTGCCACCATTTAAGCTGGTTCTTTCTGATAAGCTCCTTGGCAAGTTCCAACGCAGATTCATGCTTGTACTTTTCTGTCCGGATTCTTTCCACCAGTGGCCATCCTATCGTGTTTCTTCATATGTGAGATATACACAGAGAGAGCTAGCTATAATGAATTTTCTACAAAATATTAACAGAGTAGCATACCGGAAAATATACAAAAGTTCAACTTTGGTGAGAAGTGTACGAGATTCTACTCCTATGTCACTTTCCCAGAGTTTCCCAAATAGAAGGCTGCGGAAAAATCATTCACACAGCAGCTGCTGACTGTTGCTTCCTATATGTATGTATGTGTGTATGTATCACAAAAGGATTTCTGTTCTGGCTTCTCCTATTCTGTTAGATGGTTTTATTCCTCAACATGCCTTTGCAAGTTGAATATGGAGAAGGCACCACATTCAAATAAGATCGACGGAATGCAGAGCGCGTAGATGAATGAGGTTTGGTAAGCACATCAACAATTTGATCATCAAATGATATGAACTGATCCTAGAGCTCTGTACGAGTGACCATATCATGGAAAAAGGGAAAATAAATTTAGCTTGAAAAGCTGGATTCATAGTGAGATACATGGCCGTGAAATTATCACATCATAGAAGAGGAAGAGAAGAGGCTGAAATTCCCAGGTCTAGAAAAAAGAGAATGGAGCCTTTTTAGCTTGGCAACTCGGATCTTTACAAATATAACCATAACAAGATCCATTTTCTTTTAGTCTAATCGATTAGAAAAATTTAATATTTTCTCTTTTGAAACTAGGAAACCCATTTAGACAAGAAAACCTCCCAAGTCGGCGAGGTCTAGAGTACTCCCTCAGTTCAAGTGACACTCAGAAAGGAGAAAAAGGTTGGTGTTTTTTTTTCTCTTAAAAGATATTTTCTAATGTTCTATCCATACTGTGATCATACTGTAGGCTAGCTTCTCTCCTATCTTTTCAACAATTTCCCAAGCACACGCATGTGTTCTTGAAAGGATTATTGTTAACATTTTCAAATGCTTGTTAGAAAGATTATAGGGTAGTTCTTATTGTAGTTATATTCGGGTGGTCAGTACTAGCCCCATAGGGAAACGCTAAACCCAAGCTCGAGACTGGACGAATCCATCGGGCCAGCTCGTGCGGTCTACCTCTCAATCTCTAAGTATAAGGCCGATGATATTTCTTGCTTGGCAGCAGGAAATTTCGTCCCTCGACGAATTGCTGTCGGCATTTACTGAGGATTTTGTTGCATGAGCAGTGTGGTTGTTGTTTATACTTGCTCGATTTCAAAATCACAAGAACCAGGGAGCATCATCAGTGGTATTATCAATTTAATAGTTAGGCTGTCCAAGATGGCAAAATAGTTTCAGTCTTCAGTACCTTTTTGACTCCGGCTCTGGTCGCCATCACCCTTTGCGGTGGAAAGGCCTGCGAAAAACTCACAACTTAAGTCAAATCAAACCTTCTGGGATTTAAAGTAGTGTAAGCAATTTAACATGCTCCAAGCAGAAAAGAAAAAAAAACTCGAAAAGCAGTGTTTAATCAGCCGTTTATACAGCTTGTCTTGAGAGCAGATGTTCGAGCTGGGGTTAGCTTATTAACGCTGATCATATAAATAAATAAATAGAAGAAAAAATGTTGCATCAAACATACAACGGTAGAACAAGTTCGTAATGGTAACTTGGCGCAGTGCACATCCACTCTCGAAAGCACTAGGCATCCCAGCAAGGACATGAAGACAGGTCATTCCCTTCTTGTCCTTCATTTCATAAAGTGATGGATCCAGTTTCAGCAACGTCAGAGCAGTGTCTGCATTAGAAAGTATAATGTCATTTTACTTTCTTTTTTTCCTCATAAATTGTAGATTTAAGTTGTACCTAAAGTGTTTGGCAATGAATGTGTGTGCTAGATGTCTTAAGACTCTCGTTTGAAAGAGAATAAAAGGATTAAGAACAAAACCAAAGTGGTGTCCTTGGATGGCAGCATGAAGAATCGGCTTTGAATCTTCTCTCTTGCGGTGATCCTCTGATAGCTTTAGCCCTGGGATTTGGTCCATTTTCTCAGCTAAATACTCCACTATTTCTTCCTTACCACATACAGCAGCTCTATACAATGGAGTCTCCCCAAGCTTGTTTTTAGTCTGAAGTTGCATTGAAGGATCATATTCATCCTGGAGTAAGTGCTTTACTGCTTCCATATTTCCAGTGAAAACTGCTTCATGAAGAACTGTATTTCCATACGCGTTCTTTTTTTCAAGGGGTTTCTCGAGCATTGGATTTTTATGGGCAATATCGAGTAGATCTCCAAGCGGCCAAACTTTTTTGCTATACACTGCCAGGTGCAATGGAGTATCTTCCGAAACCGTTACTGGAGACATCACATACCTATCACCGATGCCCATGCAAGCACCAATCATCCTCTCCCAGTCTTCTTCCAAGGCTGCTAGGTAGACCTCCTTCGCTACAGTTTTATATGTCCCCATTTGGCCTTCTCTCTTTCTCTGTTTTTTTTTTTTTTTTCCTTTTTGTCTACCTTAATGTACCTCTGCAATTGATTGCTGCTCTCTCTTTGTAAAAATGTAAACTAGCTCTTCGCATGCTGATGGTGAGATGCGATATTTAAAATCAATTTTTAATTAATTGTATAACAATTAAAATAAATATTTTAAAAAATCTCAATGATTTGAATTTTTGAGTAAAAAAAGTGTTTTTAAGATAATTTTTTTATTCATGTGCTTCTTTAAGTATATGTTCTTACCTCGCTCAGCCTATCATTCACAATGTGGAATCGTTAGGTTCGCTTCCTGCGCCTCTGGCCCCACGGATTTTTGGATCCTAATAAATTCTGCGACGTTACAGCTTTAGAAAATAATTGATCACTTTATAACCTGGCCCCACAGCTTTTTCAATCATAAAAGAGAGACGAAGTGGAATTCCGTTTCGGTAGCTATTTCATTTTTTTTTATTAAAGTAAAATATTTCAGTATATATATAATTTAACAAATATACTTTAAATTCAAGATTAATTTATTATAAATTATATAATACAAATACAATATCAAATAAATATAATTTTAAAATTTAAAATATTCCTAAATAGTAAAGATTAAATAAAATTTTAACTTAAAATAATTCAACTTAAATAAAATACTAAAATATTTTAAAAATAAAATTTTTTAACAAAAAAAACATAAGTTAAACACGAACTTTTTACTTCTAAAAGATAAAGGGAAGCCACATAAGTCATTTGCGTCAAAACACTACGATGATTAATTCTTAAATGAAGATAGAGAGAGTTAGAATCTTAGTATCACATTTAGGTTAACATAAGAACACCATTTAATTAGTATTTTTTAACTCTTAATTAAATTATAAGTTTTGTTTATCACCCCTTTAAATTCCCTTAAATTTACTCATTTAATATCACAAGGAAATGATGCTTTTCTTAAAGATAATAAGAAATAGTTCAGTGCTTTTTATATTATAATTGTATTGTAAAATATATTTTTATTATGATATTAATGAAAAATGATTTTTTGATCTCTTAACATTTTATAAAAACAATGTGCAACTCATGTTTTATTCAATGAAAAGAATGTAATAATTATTAATGTCAATGAAGGCTTGTTAGGAAAGGGAAGTTCAATGAGATGAATTTGCCCTTTGACCACGTCAAAAAAATAGATTAGGGTTCGTATATTTATTATTATTATTGTTTTGTTTGATTTTTTACTTGATAAATTAATATTTAAATCTAAAGGTTATTGATGCATGCAGTATAGGTGCTTGTGCTTTTTAGTCATTGTGTGTAGCACTCGATAGCCAAATTTACTCTTTCATTGTGTTGTTGAAAGCACTATTGCATTCTCTTTCTCGACAAAGATAAGCTAGTTTGTTGCAGGTAATTTTTTTTTTAGTTTTTTAATTTTAATTTTTTATTTGTTTTATACTCTTGTAAAAGGTATTTTTGTTTTTCATTTTAATTTTTTTATATTATTTTATCCTAATACCTCCCCCGGGGGGGGGGGGGGGGTTGCCTACTAAAGCAAGACAAAATATAGGTTTGGCTAACGTCGTGTAAGCATCTTAGCATCCAGTTTTCAAATTGCGTAGAAATCCTCGTAAGAGTGTTTGCCCCCCTTTTTTTAAAAAAATAAAAGGCAATAAAATCACTAAGTAAGTATTTCATAATGATTTTAATGCTATATAACTTAATTTTTTACAATATAGTGTGATCTAATTTTAAAACATATTGAGTTCTAACGGGCACTTTAGCATCTGTAGATTACTTTTGGAATATCAAACGGGCACTTTAGCATTTTAGAATTTTAGAATTTGAAAGAGTCGTCACGGGCACAAGAATACCGACTAAAACATTCATTCACTTATTACACGACAAATACCTTTGATTTTAGATTATTTATTAATCAATATCTTACATGTTTTTCCGACAATGCACATGTTCAAAGAAATGAAAAATACCAAAAGCTTGACTTAGTTAACAATGCTTTTTGACTAAGTTTTGAATATTTCGGTCACCACCGTCCCATGTTTTTATTGTGAAGTTGGAATTGGAACATTTACCTTTCATATTGAATGCCTCACGTGGTGATGAGTATGCCGATATCAGCTGCAAATTAGTTTTTTTTTAATGGTTTACATAAAAAATGAACTTTTTAAAAGTAAGTAATTTTTTAATATTTAGTAATATTATAAAAAATAAATTGAAAAGTATTTTTTAGTATTTGGTTATATTATAAAAAATAATTCATTAATTTTTTATTAATTTTTTTTCAAGTTTATTAAAAGAATGGAAATCAAATATGACATATAAAAAATTTAAAGAAGATTGAAATAAAAATAAATAAATTAAAGGGTTTAAAATAAAAATAAAATTATTATTTAATTATAAATTACTTTTTTACAATTAGATAGAAAGTTTTCGTCTTAAGAAGTTCAATTTTCTAAGCGTTTAGGATCTGTTTAAGAATTGTGCTATGATATATCATTTTCTTATATCATTATTTAGGACTCAAATTTAAAAAAAAAATACAAAAAATAGTTTCAACGGATGAGGAAGCTATATTATATTTCAAGAAACAGTGTCCGGTGAAAAAAAAACCTTGCATTTTATATTATTTGATGTTAATTAATTAATTAGTAACATGATCACTAACAATTGACATATCATGTCTTTTCAAGGATACACATGTGCAGCTCTCACTTCGAAATTTCCATTAATAGCTTGACTTCATTTTTAGTCTTTATTTATTATTATTTTCATTCATTATCCGAGTCGTGTTGGTATGTCATCGTGCAAGCTTGGTGATACACTAGCTTCTACTTTCGAGAGTGGCCTCCCAACCAGTGAGCTATTCTTGGATCCATTTATTTTAAATAAATTGTCGGTGCTACTCAATAACTTATATTTTAGGCCTGATACATGCTATGCTGTTAATAATATCTATCAATTTATACATGTTTTTATTAAGAATTATTAAACTGCTGTCAAACATGTACTACTATACTTGAAATATACATTTTCCTTCTGTCTTCACTTTACTTGTGGCTCTTTGCTATCACCTTACTGATGCTAATTGGGCAGGGAGCATCTATGAGGGACTATATTATCTTTCTTTCTCGATACCACTCTCATTTCTTGTTTCATGAAAATTTGATAAGCAACAATTGTTACTGCTTTTCCATTGAAGCAGTATATAAAATTACTAAACCGAATCGAACCAAAACCAATTAATTAAGTTTGATTTCTGCTTTAAAATAATCAAATCAAAACTGGTCTACTTGAATTAATTTTAGTTTTTTTATAAAAAATTTAATTTAATTTTTTTAAATAAAAACCAAAATAAACGAAAAATAATCACCCTTATTCTTATCTATCCTTTTCTTCCTCGAAATAATTATTTACATGTCAAACCTGTATGATTTCCTGTCATAGAAATGTAGAATGTAGGAATTATTTTAATAATAAATCTAATATTTTTTAAAGAAATAGCGTAAGAACATCATTCTAAATATAATAATATATAGCCTAATCCTAATCGAGAGACGTTGGACTCCTCACCTTTAGTCTTCTATTAATTTGTCACAGTTTACTGCAACCTCCGTATTTTTCCCTCCTTCCCACAACCTCAACACATTAGCGTAGCCAGTTAAACAATTTGGATTTACAAAATAAAACATTAGCGTAGCCAGTTAAACAATTTGATAAAATAACATATATTTTTTTAAGATTATGTGAATAGCATATTAACTCAATATTTATTAAATATCTCTACTGGTTTAAACATGACAAGATAATTATCATGTTTTAAAATAATAATATTTAAATATATTGTATTTTTAAATTACAACAACTTAGCATGTAGTTTTAATTAAAATCTTATTACTTAACTGGTTAGCTAATTGATCTAAATATATAAATCAATTGAATATTTTTTATAAAAAATATAATTTTATGTATTTTTTCAATATATTTTTATAAGTGTTAATAATATAGTCAGATTTGTAATAATTATTGATTCTAAATAATTAAATGTGAGTTTATTGTAACTAAATGAGGACATACTCTAGACATATTATATATATAGCCTAGCAAATATATTCATGAATCAATCAAACATGTCTAGACCCAATAAAAAATCTAATTACACTATATCAAAATAATAGCTTTAAAAAACCATAATTTTTAATTTAATTATTAAATTGTGCTTAAACTTTTACAAAAGTTTCTAAAAACTGTTTTCCTTATAGTAACTATATAATTGCTATAATAATTATTAGATTTTTAGATTTAAAAAAATCACTTCAAGCCTCTGATTTTAATAGTTTTATGATTTTTTTGTTATTTTTGAAACCGATCAACTAATTTAATTAATTATTATGAATTAATTAACAAATTAATCTTGAATTTAATTGATGTTATATTTTAAAAATATAATCTTTAATTAAATATCACAATTTATAACTGCAGCATGTCAATTTATACTATTTCACCGAAAAAAAAATTCCGCAGTTTGTGTGTGCTAATTACCCAATTTATTCAATATTTTTCGCTCCATTAGGGACAATCGGTGATGGGACTTGGGAGAAGTTACAGGCTTGTCGGTGGTGGCTTTGGATGTCTCACAGTGATGGATTTTTTTGAGCAAATGGATTTATCGATCTTGAACAAAGATTTATTTATTATTCCTCCTCTTCTTTTCTTATACTAATATTATAATTTTTGTTCTGATTTTTTTTTAATCTGTGATTTTGGTTCATCTTTTACTTTGTTAGGGTCAAATCGAATTTGAAGCGCCACATCAAGCCTCCTGGCCCTACCGTTTAGCCACTGGGAAACAACGCAGCACAAGATTCGATCTTGTAGAATTCAATTATCAGTTTTTAATTAATCCATGATCAATATGCCTCAAAGTTTGCCTCATAACTCCCCCGCGTAAGGTTATTAGGTAAATTATTTTTATAAATTGACTAAAACACAAGGGCAAGCTGACCATTTGGTTTTTGTTTTAGAAAACAAATTGTTATCAGTCCTAGCAATAATAAGTTTTGTACCATATCTTTGAAAAAAATGAGGACAGTTAGAATTTAAAACTTGTTTAAAGATTTGGTTGAGAGTGTTCTATACAGATGAAGTGTTTCAAAGTGTTTTTTTATTTGAAAATAAATAAAAATTATATATATTTTTTTATTTTTAAAATTTTATTTTTAATATCAGTATATTAAAAAGATTTAAAAACATAAATATAATAACTTTAAACAATTTTTTTTTTTAATTTTAAACAAACACCGTTTTGATCTCATTGCCAAGCACCCTCCTCCATAGAAACCTCTTAATCTATTATACATGCATCCTATTAGAAGGGGTGGTATGAAAACATTTTTAATTTTTTAAATGCATAATTAAATTATTGGACGGTCTCGTCAAAACACTAATATTGAACACAAGTTTAGATTTAATAACCGAAAGTTTGATCAGGAAAGATTTTTATCACAGGAAAATACTAGAAGTAGATTTTGTTTTTTAGGAAGGAGATAGATTCTAAAACAGTGAGGTACTGAATTTATGGACCATATATGGATTGGATTTAGAATATTAGATCGTGGAAATAGATACTCACAAACAACATAGCTCCCATCATTGTTTGAACTTTGTACCACCTAGCTAGTTCCTTGAAAACTCTTTCTTTAGCATCCAGATCATCATGAGTTTTCTTTCCAAGAGTTCTAGCCAAGGGGCTTCCAAAGGCTCTAAAGCACCGCCTTCTAAGGTCAGAATACTATTTCTTCTACGGTATCAGTTCCTAATGATCAGGGGAAGCAAATGAAATGTTTAAATGATATGACAATTTTGATTTTTTTTTTCTTGTTTAGCATGTTTCAAAGGGTGATGAAGGTACAGGATCATCGTTTCCCAGCATCTCCTCCAATATGAAAAATCTCTTCGGGAGAAGGTCTAAAGGGTGAGAATATGCGCCTTCCTTTATGAACAAATGATTTAATTTATATTTATTTCTTTATTTTCTCGGTGACCTCAAGATGCAGTTCAAATAGTTAAAATTTCTCTTTGCATATAATTAATCTTATTTTGATATATAACTGAAAATAAAATATTAATTCTCGTCAAATTATCTCATAAAAGTTTCTTTCTGTCAAATCTTTGGACTAAATCTTTTCTTTCTGGGATTGAAACCTTAGGGAATGAAAATGGACTCATGTCAAGTCTCATAGGGTAAACTGAAACAAAATAAAACATTGAAAAAAGGGTTAAACCTCAAGATATTGGCCTGCTTTATCAAAGAACAACACACCTTACCTTAACTTTATGCTTCATCAAAAGGATCAGTGTTTTCCAGCTGCTCCTCTAAGATAGAAAGTCCCTTACAGAAGATTTTTAGAGTGGGTAAGAATATGCTTCTATCTTTTTTATCAGCAGTTTCTATGAGCATGCTTTTTTGCAGTAGTTTCAACACAGTTCTATTCCCTTTATTAGCAGGTTATATTTTTTGTATATGATCTGCACATGGAAAGTGGCACGAGGTCCATTATTCATTTCCATGTCGAAAGGTCAGCCAGCCATATAAGGGCGATGTGAAAATTTAGTAATTAAGAGGATTATCAATTTATATGACTTTTTTTTTTAGATTAACGTGGGTGTCCAGACCAGTTTGTACGTACCACGATTAATCCTACGAGTTCTGAAATTAATGACCATGTAAACCTCCAGTGGCGATCATATGAGCAATTAAAAATTCAAATCTGATAATTTGTATGACTTTAATTAGCTGACTGTTGGTGCTCGTCCACATTTAGATATCGGCCGAACTTCTAGTGAAGTCTTTAATTACCTGTGTAACTAAAGATTAAGTAACCCTGATAGATACTCAATTAATCAGGTTTTAAATTTGTTTTTTAATAATTACAGATTTAATTTTTTTTAAAATTATTAAAAACTTATATAGTTATTAATTTTAAAATTTATAAAATTAGTCAAGATACATAATCGGTTATAAATACCCATATTAATAATAATAAAAAAGTTTAAGTCACGTTTCTCAACCACCCAAACAATGGCCGCAATGTTAATGTAAAACATGCTTCAGGTTAAATTTCCTTGAAAATCTAATTAATCTTGGTTAACAAAATACTCCAGACAACACAGAAAAAGAGAAGATTCCACGCTTTCCTTCGAAATTTTCCCTTAGCCATGGTATGCCATTGAAAAAGTAGAAAGTGTTCGGGACACACCAAGAGATACCCTACCAAGAGATGAATTTTGACCAAAAATTCCAAGCAAACTTGCATTAAAGTAACAAATGGTCTGAATTCTCCAGAACTTTCGCACAAAAAGAACAACAAGATTGATCAATTGGAAGTAACCATCTACTAAAAGAAAGGAACATCATCTGTTCTACACAGCTAACCATAAAAAATGTCTGAATCTTTGGGGGATCTACAGAATCCCAAATGTTTGATGTAAAAGAGCCATCGAATAGTGTACTGCAAGATTTAACTAAAAATCTCCCATCACTTCCAATGTTCTAGATTTTAGTATTTGGATTCCATTGAAACAATTGACTCTCGTTTGTGAGGCTTTGCAGGGAAGAAACTTGATCAAGCTCAAAAGCCCTTAACTCTCTTTGCCAACCTAACTGCCAAGTCCAAAATCCATTATACCATGAACTCAGGTTCAAAATTGTCACTAGCTTCCCAGGAGACAATTTGTATAGTCTCAGTTGTCTATTTTTCAGCAATGAATCTCCCAACAACATATCATTTTAAAAGTGAACATACTCGTCATTTTGGACAACAAATCTAGTTTATTTCTTAAAACTTTTGCACTAATTCAGATGGATTTATTGTTTTCATTATTCGCTGCCAAATACATGATAGTTTCTTGCTGAAAAAAGGAGCATTCTCAAAACTTGGGAGATACACTTTGTGTATTAAATCTCTCCCTTTACCTTAATAAAAATTAAACATCTCACGTTTTCTCTTACTAATTGGTCCCTATACTTTTGACCTGAACTTAATAAAGAAAAATTGTATCTATAACTGGCCTTAAAGTGTAGTGAAGTCTTGAATATGAACTTCTATGTGAGAACATATTCATGGTTCATAGTAATTGATTGTTTTGTAATTAACAGGGCATTGTTTAACATAAATAAATAAGAAAAACTCACATGATTCTAGCATTAGTTTAACTCTTCTCTCCTTACAATTTGTGATTAAGGATAATGTTATTCCCATTCTACAACTTGTTAATCTCACTCTATGTTAATCTTCTTCCATAACAAGTGAAATAATATGGTATTATTTTATATATTATAAAGCAAACACACAATTGACTTATAAAACTTCTTCCTACAACAAATATAATAATCTAAAAGCAGTTGTCATCTGCGATATTCACTGCACTATAACTTAGAGATTTCAAATCATATTAATTTATAGGTCTCATAAAATCACATGGATTGAATTTTATCAGAGGAACATAAAGAGGATTCGAACTGTTATGGTTGTTCTTATTATGAAAGCACACTCAAGTCTTTGTACATGCTTTGTGTCATAACCTGAATCCTGGATTCATGATCGGCACATAGGTAAGGTTCTCCTTCAAGATTCCATACCTATGCGAACCCAAACTTACATACAATCTTTTTCTAACTTCATTAGAGTTCAACGCAACATTAATAACAAAATTAACTTCATAATATAATTGAATTATCTTAATACAAGAGTTAATATAATTTCATAGTTTTGGAACACTAACTAGACATAAAAAAAGGTATAAATTACAACCAAAAGAGTAGGTTCTGAAGACCCAACAAAAGTAACATGCTATCAAGTTATAAGCTTGAAAAGGTAAATAATGAGAGGTGAGTTCCATAACTTAGTGAATAGATAACGTTCAATATACACATACGAGGTAATATAACAATGAGAATATATATACAATTATGACTCTATGTTCCTCAAATAGGTCATAACAAGAATATCATATGGTAAAATTTGTCAGAAAATCAAAATGCAATGAGCATGAGGCTCCGTACTGTGGGATGATCAGTCTACACAGGTTGGTAACTCCCCGACCAATTAAGGTTCAGATACGATGTGCACAAAGACTAACACTACCCTATTAGCATGGGTATTCTGATTGACACACCATAGGTTTATAATCATAATCAAATAGAGATATCCATATCTCAATGCTCAACTCATGAAATCAATCAAATGAGGAGCTATCAAATCAGAAGTCAATTCAAAATATATATACTGGTTCATATCAAGAATTCGGATTCAACAATTGATCATGCTTTATCATAACAAGGATAATAATCAACATATATATTATCATGAAGCATGATCCAATTCATATTAACAAATCAAATATTTATAATATTTCTCATGCATATGAAAAATTATCCACTCACCTGACTCGAAAGCTGACTCGAAAGCAAATAAAAGTCAAAAGCAGATACCGAAGAAAATCCTATTAACATCTCGCTGGTAGAATATCAGGATTATCTGAATACAAAGGAGACATATTCAAGAACAACTTGAAAGAACATATAACCTATTTAATACACTTATCTAAAGGTATATTCCATAACCCTATATGTTTTTGAACTAACTAGTTATTTTTCCTAAAAACCCAACATTTAACGATTTTCCCAAAATCTAATCCATAATAAAATAAATAATAAAATTAATAATAATTCACTAAATAAATCTTAATTATTCACAAACCAATCTGAAAAATTTAATATTACATCTGGGGACTAATCTGTAATTTATCATATTTTAAGGGTCAAATTGCAACTTTTGTCAAATTGAAGGACCAAACTGAAATTTTCATAAATCCATTACTATACTGAAATCCTGATCATAATTAATCCTCATTTATGTCCAGAATATATCATTATGCTCCAGGGACCATTCTGGAATTTTATCAAATTTTTAGGGCTAAATGGTAATTTTTGTCAAATTGAAGGACCAAATTGAAAGTGTTAAAATTTCATAACTATACAGGAATTCTGCCCATAATTCATATTTTTTTCTGTTCAGAATCTCGGAATATGCTCCAGGGACCAATTTGTAATTTTCCAAAGTTTGGGGACTAAACTGTAATTTCCACAAATTGAAGGACCAAAATGAATTTTCGTCATCTTCAACCTCCAACCCAGAATTTCAAGAGAAAACCTACTGTTCTCTCCAAATTTATAACATAAATTCACCATTTAAACAAAATCATAACTCAAAATCATCATCTTTCAATTTAATCTCTCAAAATCAACCAAATAATCAAATACACTAACAATTAATCTTATAAGATTCAAATTAATTCATCAATTAAACCCAAACACAAATGTTCAAAACCCTAACATTTATCAAAACCAAAATTAAAAGCTCAATAATACATATTTATACATTTAACAACCTAAATCTTACCTTTAAACTTGTTTCTTCAACTCCTTTCTATTTCCCTTCTAATTTTTCTCTTTTCTCTTCTTCTTCTTTTTTCCTTTTCTCTCCCGTCAGTTTTTCACTCTAAATTTTCAGATTTTTTTTTTTATATTTATTAAATTTGTTGAATTACTATACTATCCAAGAATTTTATAGCCTTTTCCTCTTTTTAATTCTAAACGTTACACTTTGTATCTTTACACAACCCAAGAGCATGAGTTTAGGTATTCAAAGATATTTAACGAAACAGAAATAGAAAAACTAATCCTAGAATCATGGAATACACAAGATTTGGTAGTAACGTAAATGGTGACAACAGCCTTAAGGTGACACTTCTATGATTTCTTTTGTTTTCTTAATATGCCCCCGCAAGAACAGGCTACCATCAGCTAGGCCGATCTTGTCTTGTAGATATTCTATCATTTGTCTAGAAAGCAGCTTAGTGAGTAAATCAGCGAGCTGGTCATTAGTGTGAACATATCGAACATTAAGAAATTTTTTTCCAACCAAATCTCGCACAAAGTGAAAGTCTATCTGAATGTGCTTCATTCTAGAATGCTGGACAGGATTAAAGCTTAACTGTGTTGCACCCAAATTATCACCATAGAGTGTAGGTGAGTGTAGTAATGGAAACTTCACTTTGTGAAGTAGAGAGAGCAGCCACATGGACTAAGCTGTGGCAGTTGCTAAAGCCTTGTATTTAGCTTCGGGTATTGGGCTCAAGATAGAGATATGCATTTTGGGAGAGTGAGAAACCCACAAATATGTATGGTGTGGCCTTAGGTTCTACCTTGTGTGAGCATGTGTGAGTAAGGTGAGACCAGTTTCAACAAGGTAGCGATGATGTTTTCCAGACACACTATTTTGTTGTGGGTTATGGGGAGCAATTGTATACTGACTAATCTCATGAACTGAAAGGTAGGGTTTGAGACTAATAAATTCTTCATCATTATCAGAATAAAAACTCAAAACTCTTTATTTTGGTGTTAAATTATTTTTCACAAGATTTTTGAATTGCCGAAAAATTGTTTGAACTATTGATTTATGAGTCATAAGATAAAGCCAAGTGTATTTAGTATAGTGGTCAACAAAAATAAAATAATATTTAGAGCTACCAATACCAACTTCATGAGATGTTTTGTATAAAGTAAGAAGTGGGGTGATAGTTGTGGAGGTGGAGGCAAGAATGGCATGGAGGATGAGTTTGTCTTGGCAAACCAGTGGGAGTTTGCGGCTTTGGAGACAACAGAGTTTGTTGTATCAATAGTTGGGCATTTTTTTGCACCAGTGAAAAAGTCAATGAAATCATAACCAATGAGTAATGTCTCAAATTGAGCCCTTCATTGAGGAAAGGTGGAAGAAGTGAGTTTTTCGTTGATGGTGGTGACGGTATTGATGGTGATGATGGGTGAATCAATGGTAGATGTATAGATGGCAGCCATGTTGCAGAAGATAAGAGGAAAAAAATACTCGTTAGAGATCATTGCTCTGATACCATAAAAATGATTTGAACTGTTATGGTTGTTCTTATTATGAAAACACACTAAGTCTTTGTACATGCTTTGTATCTTTATACAACCCAAGAGCATAAGTTTAGGCATTTAAAGATATTTAACGGAACAGAAATAAAAAAACTGATCCTAGAATCATGGAATACATAAGATCTGGTAGTAACATAAATGGTGACAGCTAGCCTTGAGGTGGCACTTATGTGATTTCTATAGTTTCCTTAATAGAATAATATCTTTTTTATTCACAATTCTTCTATATAATTTAAACACAATTTTTTTTATACTGAAATATATTATATTTAGTATAGTATAGTTATATCATGAGAAATTAAACAATATAAGTTAATTATGCAATTTATTTTAGACACTCAGAGAGTATTACGTTTTTAAACTTTAATTTACTTCTCAATAGTTGTGTTTTAAATTCAGAACTCCTTTCTTTATTTGATATTAAGAAGATTTCGACAAATATTAACAGCAGTAAGGCAAGTAGCGACTCTCAACAACCATCTCCAAATAATGAAAATCCAGAACCGGCCTTCTCACAGGTGAGAATACTAATGAATGGTAATTAATCATCAGATCGTGATGATCAGGGGTCAAATGAGATGGTTTCATGATGAAAATTTGAAAATTCTATTGTTTGACATGTTTTATAGGCTGGTAAAACCACGTTTAAACCGAAGAATCTTAGCATCTTTTCGGAGGAAGAAAGTCAAGCTTGGACAATTTCTGAAAGGTACTGAGGATAATATATGCCTATTTTCTTGTTGAAGTGCTGTGTTACAAACTTTGGTGTGGTTCATCATCTGGTGCTGTGTTACAAGTATTTTGTTAATAGAAGTAAAATTATAACTATTAAATGAGACAGAGAAAGCTATGGTTTTGAGTTTAACACACGTATAAAACCCTAAGGCTAGACAAAAATACAACTAAAGTTGTGAAAGTTTATAGTTTTTTCAACAAAAGTCCCATAAAATCTGAAAAGATTGGTTTAAATGCCTCAAAAAACTAGGAAACAACCAATCAGGAAAAATAATATAGCTAAAATCCAAAATTAAGAAGGAAGAAGTATAAAATATGGACTGAAACTTTGAGGGTCTTTGGAGTGAGATTTGGCGAATATGAGCATCGATCGAACGGGCTTGGAGTGTGAAAGGAAGCTTAGCGCAAGCTCAATTTTCTATTAGGAATTCACCTATAAAATTTGAGCTTTATTTAACAATTTGATTAACTGTTTTGAGTCAAACTACCTGATTGGATAATTTCTTTGACTGTTTTTGTTTTTTGATCCGATCCATAAAATCCCGGCTAATTATTCCACATCATTAAATTAAAATCAAAATTTTTGGTGAATATTCTTGCATGTATTCATTATTAAAAAAATCAATACACAAGGTTCCCGCCATGCTTTTAGTTATAGTTTCTTCCTGTTGTTTCCTTTCATTTTTGGTCGAGACCATAAAAAAAAGTTTTGATTTATTTCTCTACTTGCCAGGATTGGATTTTAGGAGTGAGTATATTAATCTAGAGATCAATGGTTTACCATCATGATGGAACTGTGTCACTACCTTTTGTGCATCAGCTGATTCTGAATAGTGGTGCTGTAGTTGTTTTTGTAGAGAATATTTTGTTTATGTCAGTATGAGGCTATTAATTTTCTCTTTGCAAGCTATAGGGACGGTCCTGCAGAGCTGCAAGAGGTGTGTTGGCTTGATGTAACTGGTTCAATGACTGCTACCAAAGGGAAGGCGTATGAAATTAGCTTCATATTATCCATGAATGAAAAGAATTCCTTTGGCTGGGAAGATCCTGTTTATGTGATGGCAAGGATAGGAGAGAAGGGAGAGTATACGCGCGTAAAAATAGATCTATCGAAGTTAGGCCTGAAAGAAGAGGAATTTCCAGAGGAGAAGTGTCGGGTTGATTTTAGAAGTGATGAAAACTCTGAAAATAATAAGAAAACACTCTATTTTGGCTTGTATGAGGTGTGGACTAACCACTGGAAGGGTGGTCTACGGATCCATGAGGCCATTGTTCGGGAAGTAACAGCTGAGGATTCTGCTTCTACGTCTAATACCCGTTCGGACGACTCCAAAGTGCAAGAAGTAACAGCTGACAATTCTACTTCAGCATCTGAAAGCGCTCTGGACAAAGGCTGTTTTGAGGGTCAAAATCTATTTCCAATGCCTACTTCCAGGAATTTTCAGTGATTTGATTTCTAATCCGGATCTCCATCTGACTATTTATCTGTTTTTCGTAAGTGTCATATTTCAAGTTATTTTCATTTTCTTAGTCAGCGCATCTATGGCAAACTTATATTATACAATGTTAAGACCCCAGTTATTTGGTTATGGATTGAATAAGAACTATATATAGACTTAAAGACTCTTTCTCCAGAGCTTTTCTGTTTGCCTTGTGATTTGCGGCGTCAACATCCAACAGTCCTCTGGGTGTGAACTGATTAAGAAAGTTTTTTAAGCAGGTGTGATCTTACTGCTAAAGAGCTGTTGATATTGCGTGACAGATTAAAAAAGTACAAAACGGCTTGATATATATTGTTAATTTCACTCTTGCTTGCATTGTGCTTTGATTTTTGAAGTTCTTAAAGCTTAGGGTAGCTAACTAGGATACACAAATGACACTTCCTTTCCTGATGCTACTCGTGTCATTTTGGGTGTGTCTAAAGTAAATGGATTTCAATAAAATTCAAGTAAATGGAAAGATTTTTTTAAAAAAATCTAAAACAATAAATATGTAAATGAAATAATAAAAACAAGCTTAATTAAAACAAAAAACATAGAGGTTTGTCTTTGTCTAGATTGATCTTTCATATTGTTTGAATGTCTACATTGCGCTATTAAACAATAGAAGCTTATCAATTTGTCCCAATTGCTCGGTGATCTATTGAAAAATGTTTTTTTTTTTATGAGCACTTTGGTTAATAAGGAAATTAGAAAGAAGAATAAGCAAGGAATATTATTTGATTTGTTTTGTAGATGTTGGAATTCTAAGAATTCACAATTATTCTTGTGAAAATCAGAAATAGATTATGAGGATTTTATTTATAATTATTTAAATTTATCTTACAAAGATTGGAGAGGAATCTTTTTTATTTTGTCAGTACTTTTATATTTTTATTAAGATCCTCTTATATATTTTTTAAGGTTTATGCAAAAGCAATGATCACAGATATGGCCAAGAATATAAAGAATAGTGATCTTGCCCTTTGTTGTCTTTTTTTCTTTTTACTATTATTATTGGCTTTAAGGACTTGATTTTATGTCTCTGGTAAAAAATCTTCTGTTTGTTTTGAAATCTAATTCTTTATAACTATATTTTCATAATCTCTATCCACTCTTTGAGTCAAGAAATGTTTTTAGTTTGATACACTAATTATCATAATTATTTTTTGTTAGCTTTTTGATGAATATTTGTGCATTTTTTAGTTATTTTATTTTTTAAATAACTATATTATCTTATGGGAGTTGAACTTGACAAGATAAACATTGCGAATGAATCTAGAATGGTCAAAATAATAGGTAATTAGTTTGACTTGGTTGAAAATGAGTAAAAAATAAGCTAAATCAGTCTAAAAGCTAATTCTGAACTTTGGTCGATTCGTTGGGGTTGAACCAAGAATATTTGATGAATATTATTCATCTAGCAGCTTGATGACTCCGCTTATATACAATAATAATAATAATAATAAGGATTTTTATCTTTATGTTGATTCAGATCAATAATTAACCCAACTCATGATCTAGTTCAAGCCCCGAGTCGATTTCTGAATTGATTTTAAAACTATGATAATAATTATTTTTATCCTTATATTTACTCGGGTGAATGGTTAACTTGATTGGTGACCTGGACCTAGTCCTGGATCGAATTGAATTTTAAAATTATAATAATTATTATTTTTATATTAATTCAGATTAAGATTAGTATAAAACCCAAACTTTTAATTCAAAATCAAGTTAAAGTTACCCTGAACCTAACCTAACTTTGCTGCATCAAATATGATGGCCCTTCTGCCGTTTCTCACTGCTTCAAACCCAAACCCACTGGTAAGTAAGTTCAACTTCTTCTTCTATTCCCCTTTTGGCCTTTCTCAATTTATGTTCGGTTTCTTATAATTTTGTGTAGTTGGGTTCTTCTGTAGGGGTAGAAATGGAGGGGATGAAAGTTGAGGAAGCTTATTTTAGAGGCAGGAATTTACACGGTGCCAGGCTTCCTATTCCAAATGGGTGTTCTGGCAACTATGTTATACTGTAAGGAATTTAAATATGAAACCTGTTTTTTCTTTAAAAAAATTTATGATCCAATATGGGAAAAAAATTTTATTCTCGTTGTCATCTTGCAATGCTTGAGAAGGTGGAACCACCCTCAGCACCCGCTTCTTGGACAGAGAAGGTGGAAGCACCTTCAGCACCCGCTGCAGGGACAGAGAAACATGAAAACAAATTCATTAGCGTTGGTAAAGTCATTAATTATAGGAAAATAGGTTTCCCTATCATGGTCCTTAATTATAGGATTACATTTTCTTTGGAACACCTGCAATACAAATCACTTATATCGAGGTATAGAAAGCTGCATTTCACTGATTTTGAAGTAATTTGGAATATAGGCTAATTGAAAACATTCTTTAATTTCCTTGTAATTAACGAACAAAATTTACTTACAGCTAGGAATAAAGAAATGTATTTCATAAACATATGGAATGGGGTTACGGTTGTACAAGAGTAACTAGCTCACCTTGAACCCTTTTATTTCTTCTTGTAGCTCGAGTGCAGGGCCGGGCTTAGTTCCTCCGTGATAGTGCTTCATGTGTGCAACTTGGTGCAACAATGTGTAGCCATTATTGTCAATTGCCGAGCTCATCCTGGTCACTCACTACTCTGTTATTGTTCTTGACAATACGGAAAACCCCCCGCTGTTGATGCATCACAGCCAAATGTAATATGTTCTGCCCCATTTGATTAACAAGCAACACAGACTCCGCAACATTTGATTAACATGCAATACTTGTTTGCAGATGGATTCTCATTCCAACAGACTCCTCCTGCAACGCAGACATCTTGCCACACAAACTGCAGAGTCCGACTACAACATTGATTGCAGACTGCAGTCTCAGTTTAACTCCAACAGGATAATTGTTTTCTATAGATAGACTCTTGTATGTCCGTGATTATAGGAGATTTAATAGCCATCATCCTTCCTAGTTTTGTGTGTGTGTGTGTGTGTCTGCTGCTATAACAGAAAAACATACAAGATTCTTCTGTCTCCTTTGTTTCTTCAGCATATAATATTATTTTGTTTTTTCATGATACCAGAACAGGTTCTTAATACATTGTTGATTAGTTGAAATTCCTATGGTTACCCGTTCAAGATTGATAGTGTTAAAGGCACCCATAAATCCTACAACATGCTGGAAGGAGAGCCAAATCCTAATCAATGTTTAGGCTCCGTTTTACTAAATGAATTTAACTATCTCCTTTGTCAATAGCTGTGACAATTGCTCTTGGTGTAAGATTCAAACTTGGCTATGTCAATGGCCATATTAGGCCTCTTGAGTCTTCTTCATCATCAGCTTATGAAGCTTGACAATGCAAAGACCAATTTGCTATATCTTGGTTACTTAATTCAATCAAAAATTATATTACTGAAATATTCAGCTATTCCAAATCTTGGAACTATGGGAAGCTGTGAAAGAAATATATGGAAATCAAAACAATTCAACTTGTATTTCTCAAATCAACAAAAATCTTGCCAATTTGCAACAAGATGAAAGACTCGTGTTCAAATTACTTGGAACCTTGGAAGGTATAATGAGTGAACTTGCACTATGTCATCCCTACACGGTTGATGCAGTATAATTAAGGAAACGTGAAGAGAGGAAAAGATCTTCCAACTATTAGCTACTCTCGGTTCAGAATATGAAGATCTTCATAGCAAGATCCTCATGAATCTTGATTTTCAATCCATTACTAGTGTGTGCGCTACTATTCATTAAGAAAAAAGCTTACATAAAAGTTATGAGTTTTGACTCTAAAAACCTTTTATCAGAAACTCGTGTTTATATTATCAACAAATCAATAAACAATGACAAACCTTACAAGGGAAAACAACCCAATTTAAAGTGCCATTATTGTCCTAATATTGGCCACTCTATTAGAAGGTGTTGGATTTTTCATTCAGAGCTAAAGCAGAATTTTAAAAAGAAGAAGAAATCTCAAAGGGCTATTAGCATAAGGCTTACATTGTTGCTATTGCTCACTTCACTAAGTTTGCGGGCTTCCTTGCAAATTCGGTTCACATCCCGTAAGAAAGCACAGATGGTGGTATTCTCATTACATTTAAAATTGCCTTGCGAACTAGTATTGTGCATGACTCTTGGGTTATTAACTCAGGTGCCGCTAATAATATAACTAATAAAATGACTAACTTATGTAATTTTAAAGGATTTTCTTTTCCTACTCAAGTGTCTATTGCTAATGGAAAACATGTCTCCGTCAATAGTAAAGAAAAGATTAAATTACTTTTCAATAGTATAAAATCCTCAATTCTATATGTTTCCTCTTTTCCATTTCAATTACTTTTATGATAATCCAATTTTTGATTTCTTAAAAAAAATGAATGAATAAAAAAATAATTTGAGAAATGGGTTAAGACAACACAAATCGAAAGTTTGAGGACTAATAAAGATTGAATTATAAATTTAGGAGTCAATTTGATCAAAAATTGAAAGAATTAATAAGTTTAGGGGTTTAGTTGAACTGAAAATTAGTTTAATTAATAAAATTAGGGGCATAATTGAAGAAACATCAAAGTTTGGGGCTGATTAGAGGTGGAATTGGAAGAAATTAAAATCTAAGGACCAAATTGAAATGATGAGGGTAATTTAGGGAGTTTAATGATTGTTTCAGGGGTAATCTTGAAAGAATTAAAAGTTGAAGAGTCAATTAAGGATAAAATTGAATAAATAAAAAAAAGGATTGTTTTGGAAATGACGCTATAATCCAGGGGTCCAATTGCAACTTAATCTAGGGGCAAAATAATAATAAAAAAAGGATTTTCCTTGATTAAGGACCCAATTGCTAAATTTCAAAAGCTTAGGGCGGAAATTGAAGATAGCCAAACGACGCAGTTTCAAGACACTATTCGAAATCCATTTGAGACACCACTAACACAGCTTCGGCCAGACACGATCTCCTCACCCACACGATATTCTCTAAATGCCAGAATTGCTCTTGCAATGACAGGGCCTTTAGCACCCGACTAGTCTTCAAATGAAGGCAAACGTTGAAGACGCCCATCGTGCATATTGTGCACGATAGGATGGGAGACAGATGCAAACCGAGAAATACTGGGAGGGAAGAAACGAAAAAGCAGTGGGGGTAAAAAAGGAAACTGGGGAAGAAGAAAAGCAAACAGGGAAAGAGGCCAGGAAAGGAGAACGGAGAACAAACGCATGGGCAAATATAGAGTGAACAGAGGGTTTTCCAGGGGATATAAACGAAAAGGAAAAAGACTGAGGAGAAAAATCATAAGGAAACAGAAGCACAGAACAGAGGGTCACAGGAGGCCACGAACGAAGAAACAAACCCAGAGAACAGGGGGTGAGATGCAAAGAACAGAGGAACAAAAATGCAGAAAAGAACCCTACACGGGAAAACATATAACAGAGAGAAGAACAAAGAAGGAAGAAGAAGCCTTGTCCAGACGTCGTCACTCCAGACCACCAGCTCCAGCAGACCAGGTAAACCTTTCTTCTTCTCTTCCCGCTTTGCAAAATAATTCATTTGATACTGTGCATCTTCATTTATAATTAACTCCTTCCTGCAGCAAACCTGCATGAACATTTCACTCAAGCCTGCTACTTTGCCCAGCCAGCCCAGTCATTAATAAAAAAAACAGAAAAAAAGAGTCGAGGCCAAGCTAGGCCCAGGCCTCAGGCCTAGCTCACCAATCTATTTAGGGTTGCAGATCCTAATCAAACTCAGACTCAAACAAACAATGAATAAAAAAATAATTATATATTTTAGTTATTTAAAAACAACACAAATAATTAATTATTAATTACAATTCAATCATAATATATTTACGTATACTGTTCAATGTAAAAAAACACATGATTATATATTTAGTTATACCATGGATGGTCAATTTTAATTACGAAAAAGTATCTCATAAATCTTTTTAATTATATAAATGCTATCTATTTGTTGGATGTGTGGAGCATAAAATAATATCTTTTTAATTAAAAAATATATGAAAATATTAAAACATTCTCTTAATCCTTTTAATTATATAAAATATTCATATAAAAATAATAAAATACCCTAAAAACAACTTTTTTATTTTTTATTTTTTCTGAAGTTAAAAACATTATAGTCTATAATAAAATATTTATTGATATAAAATAATTTACCCACATTATTTAGTTTTTATTATACTGATCTGGAAAAAAAAGAAGAAAAAAAAGTGGTGACTTCTAACAAGCTGATGCCGTACAACACCGGTGCATCATTTAAATTCATTGCCATTAATACATGACCACGTGGCCATTGTTTTATTTGGGAGCAATGATTATTTGGAAAGTGTTTTTTAGAATTGTTTTTTACTTTCCTGTTTTAGCTATCCTGGAAAAGATGATTTAAAGAGAGGAATGTGTTTTTTGATTTTTTTTAAAAAAGCCAAATTTTTTTGCATGAAGAACTCAAAAATAAAAACAGTGCAACTCTATGATTCATCTTTCTTTCTTCTTTTTTTCTCTCCATGCTTTTACCTTTATGTTTTTTAATTGTGCTTTTTTACTATTTTATTTACCGTTTTTGTTAGAATAGTTGTTTCTTAGTTTTTTTTATATAAAAAAATCTTTGTAGTTTATTAGATTTTTCTATCCTAAAAACTGAACTATTTTGTTTCTATTTAGATACTTCAATTTATTTACAAGAATTATATTGAAACTCTAATATTTTATTTGATATTTCTTTCGTCTATTTTACTGCTTTTTATCCTGAATATATATGCACCGGTAGAATCTACATCAAATTTTGCATATCAAATGTAGAAAATTTAGAGACCGCCAAGATGACACGAGTACCACTAGGGAAGGAAGTGTCATTTCTGTATCCTCGTTATCTCCCTTTGTACCACATCTTTTCGACCTGTCTTTAAAGATCCATCAAGTTCGTTTTAATAATAATAATAAAAAAAAAAGATGGTTCTTTTTTATCAGCTTATATATTGAAATTAACAATATATATCAAACCATTTTGTACTATTTAATTTGCCAAGACAAATAACCAGCTCTTTAACAGTAAGATTACACTTGCCTAAAAACCTGATAACACAGTCATCCCCTCATTAATTTCTTAATCGATTCACACCCAGAGGATTTTAGGATGTTGACGTCGCATATCATAAGACAAACAGAACAGTTCTGGAGAAAGAGTCTTTAAGTCTATAGTTTTTATTCAAACCATAGCTAAATAACTACAGTCCTAGCAATGCATATTACAAGTAAATAACTTGAAATATGATCATACTGACGAACATAGAAATAATAGACAACTAGGAGATGCAATCCGGTCCGCTGATCAAATCCCTGAAAAAACATTCCCACGTTACCAGGCTCTAAATCAGCTTCTACGTACTCCTTGAACTTCGACTCGATCGGAGGTTTTCAGATGTTGAAATAGAATCGTCATGAGCTGCTATTTCCTTCCCTCTGACTCGTCGGAACGGGTATTAGATGTAGAAACATTATTCCCAGCGGGTATTTCCTGAACTATGGCCTCATGAATCCGTAGACCACCCTTCCATTTGTTACTCCACACTTCATACAAGCCAAAATAGAGCTTTTCCTCATCATTGTTAGGGTTTTCATCACTTGTAGACTTAGTCTGACTCTGACTCTTCTTCGCAGGAAGTTCCTCTTCACTTTCAGATTTTTCATCATTTTTAAACACAACCCGACACTTATCCGGAGGAAATTCCATTACTTCCCCTTTTAATTCTGATAGTTTTATTTTTTTGCGCACATACTCTCTCGCCTTTCCTATCCTAGCCATCACCATAACAGGATAATCAGGATCGTCCCAGCCAAAGGATTTCTCTGTGTTCATGGATAACATAAAGCTAACTTCATACGTCTTCCCTTTGGTTACATCCATTTCACCACTTACATCAAGCCAACACACCTCCCGCAGCTCTGCAGGACCATCATCCCTATATATATTTTGCAAAGAGTAAATAGATTAAAATTGACATAAACAAAGTAGGCTCTACATTACTATAGCACCACTATTCAAAATCTGCAGATTCACAAAAGGTAGTGATACAGTTCCATCATGATGTAAAACCATTGGTCTTTAGTATAACATACTCACCCCTAAAATTCAATCCTATCTTGTAAAGAAATAAATAAATAAAAAACTTTGCTTTATGGTCTCCGCCAAAAATGAAAGGAAACAACTGAAAGAAACAATAACTAAAAGTGGTCGGAACTGCACCATTTACTGATTTCTAAACCTTAACTTTCCACGTTTAAGAATGTAACAATTCGGCCTTGGGATATCTGTAATCTTTACTTAACAATTTCAAGATTCTTGTCAAAATGATTCGTATAATTTTATAACACCTCTGAAAAGGTTTTTGTAATTTACCCTAAAACATAAACGTGGATCAAGAGAAAACTTGTATGAATAAATTAAAGTATCAAATTAAATAGAGTAAATTATTACCGGATCCCTATGTTTTCAATAAAATAATTAGTTAATCCCTTTGTTTTAAATTAATTGGTCCTGTTGTTGGTTTTTTACCTACAATATTCTTATCTATAATCAAAATTTCCAATCTTATCTACTTTAGACAAAATTAAGTATTTCAAAAAGGTAATTTAGGAATTGCTTTTTAAAAATCAACAGTCAACTTTGCTTAAAGAATTAACATACAATTTTGAAAAATAAAGGGACCAACTTACAAAAGCAAAAAAATATTGTATTTTTCCTCTCTAATAATTAAGAATATTGTACAATTTTTAATAAAGATGTATTTGTGAAATCCGCATAAAAAATTAACTAAGTTTTGTGTGCTTCTCATTATTTGTGTTTGCATGATTTTTTCACATGTTATTTAATTTTTAGTAAAATAAAAAAATAAAGCTGAGATAGAATTGGGAATCAACTCAAAATTTATAGAACAAAGGCATCGAAACACCACAACAACGCCTTACTCAGACCATGAAAATAAGGATAATTAACCCTTCCTAGGATACAATTACTTTTACATGTTTAAATTTAGAATATTGACAAGTTTGAAGGTCGTGATGATGCATGCACCTGGAAACAATGTCAGGCCAAAGCAAATTACTTTGCATGACCCAGAGATGTTAGAAATTTGACTAAATAACTATACTGTCTGCACATGCAAACAAACAACTTCTATGAATGAATCAATCCATACAAAGTCATCAACACAATAAATGATTTCTAGCTGGGTTTGAAAGAGAAAGAAAGCTTGATTATGGTGATAACTGTTTGGGTTATTGTTGGGGTAGTTAATGGATTCAATACTAGAGAAGAAGAAGATAGAAGGAGAAATTTGGGGAGATTGGTGTCTAAAAGAGAGAGAGAGAAAAAAAAACTAGGTGTGAACCGATCCAGCAAGAGTTTTACTTTTTTTTTTTAAAAAAAACAATCTAAATATAAAATACTTTTTATGAATTTAAAAGATTTTCGTAAACATTTTATGGTATTCATGAAAATACTTTTTATGGTATTCAAATTATAACTATCAATACTTTCTCTATATAGAAGAGTTATGCATGAAAAGGATAAAGATCCTTATAAAAAAATTAAATTGGTTCAATTCTAAAAGGACCAGATATAATTATTTTTATGTTTCATATCTATTATTAAATTTTGATAATTACAACTTAAACACAATAAAAATTTTCTATGATATTGATCCTCTTAAAACTTTATATATTTGTAAATTATGTATTGATTTTTTATAATGAATTAAGACATGCAAGAATATTAATTAAAAATCTTGATTGTAATTTAACGATTCTAATTTTCCTTTTATTAACAAAACATTTGTAACATAACAATAGATCAAGCACACCAAGATTTATAACATAACAGCATAACTCTTCAAGAAGAAAACAGGTATATTATCCTCACTCTTCAGGAATACTCCAGTATTTACTCTCTTTCCGCCAGCAGATTGTAAGATGCTTTGGTTTAAACACGGTTTTGCCATCAGGGCCCTGCAAAACATGTCAAACAAGAGAATTTCCAAATTGTCATTATTAAATCATTACATAATTATATTAATTAATTACCATTCAAGCAGTAATAATATTCTGACATTTAAGGGGACTTCAACCGTCTCTGACCCAACTGTAGATGATTTAGACTCTCCCTTGCTATTAACACCGAAAATAAGCAGTATCATCAATTTGTATAAAAACACTTGAAAGATTATTTCGATTCATGGAAGATCAACCATTTATCATTTGTAGGACTCATATTTTATCGATAATCAACTGGCACGTCAATTTGTATAAAAACAATTTTATGAAAATCATTTTCAAAAATAGAAATTAAGGTTTTGAATGAAGGGTGATATTATTACTTATCCCCGCTCCATGCCTTGGCAGAGTGACAAAATAAATAGCCCTCTTTCTTACACCTTTATAGAAATCTTAATATTTGTCAAAATTTTCATGATATTGCATAATGAAAGGAGCTCTAAACTCAATATACAACTATTGAAAAATAAATTAAAGTTTAAAAATTTGTGATTTTTTTTAAAAATGCCTTTAGGCTTTATATTTATTTTATTGTAAATGCGCTTGACATATCTAAAATAAATTACATTATTAACCTATAATGTTTAATTTATCATTATATATACTACATTATACTAAATACAATACATTTGATAAAGCATCACCACCAGTATAAAATATATTTCAATATAAAAATATTAATGTTTTGATTATATATAAAAAATTGTAAGAGAGTCCTTGTGATAATATTCAATCCATATATTTTTATGAGACCCATAAATTATTTAGATATGATTTGAAATCTTTAATTTATACTTATTCTGCGATGAATATCAAATGACTAGAAATGTTAAGTTATTATATTTATGATAGGAAGATTTTTTATAAGTTAATTATGTTTGTTTTTTAACATATAAAATAGTACCATATATTTTTAACAAATGACTCTACTCATATTTTTACAATATTTTTCATTAAAGTATCTTTCATCCATTAATACAAACATAATACTTTAACCTAAAACCTAATAGATGATCACAATGTATATTGAATAATTTAAAAAAACTAATTAAAAAAACTAAATGATCAAACTTAAAATCTGTATTATGAAAGTATGATAATTAAATAAAAAATTTAATATTAAAAAAATAAATTAAAAAAAATAATTAAAAAAAACTATAACTAAAAAACATTTATATGTCATTATAAATTTGCAAAGTGAAAGGTTAATAACTTTTAGCATAAAGTATAATTCAATAGCAAGTTTTTTTCTTCTTTTTATTGGCTCAACTTGTAGTGGAGCCAAGTTGTTTATTTTTCTTAGTCTTAATCGTGATAGAGTAAAAGAAAGAACTTTGGTGAAAAAAAGGTGTGTTACTCATTATGATTCCAATAGTAGTTTGAATCAATTTGGGATATAAAAGTTCAATGGCTCCAATTATTACTATTGAGAGTTATGTATACAAAACCCATCTTCAAGTTCAGGACCCGTGAAAGATTGGATAAAGAAATCATGGAGAATGCTTCGGAAAGGTCATATGCAAAAGAAATAGAAGATAAAGATGTGGTAAGGTGTTATTTGCTCTTCACACCTCAACATATTGGCGATCTCGATTCACGTAAAAAAGTATGTTATTTTATTCGATAGATCAATCTTGTCTTTTTATCACCTTAATAATAAATTTTCGCATCGCCCTTGGATGGCTGGCTGATCTATTGACATAAAATAGAATAAAGGACCTTTTTTCCATTTTCTATGTGCAGATCAATTACCAAAAATAAACTGATTAGTAAACAATGTTTCAACCACTGCAGAAAAAGCATGCACATAGAGGCTCCAAATAGGAGGGGAAAAAAACCATATTCTCACCTTTCACCATATCCCGAGGAGTCACTTGATTCAACCTTGAGGCAACAGGAAAACAAGCTGTTGTTCCTAGAAACCTACACAAGAAAAATTCCAAATTGTCATGTCATCAAAACATTTCATTTGCTCCCCTGATCATTACGAACTGATTATCTGAATTGCCGAAGAAGTAAAAAGAATTCCGACCTTTTGAAGCTGTCGTTGAGAGCCTTTGGGAGCCCCTTTGCTTGAATTTTTGGAAGGAGAACTCATGATCTGGATGCCAAAGAGATTTCAAGGAACTATGTGGTAAAAGTTCAATACGAGAACAATAATGAGAGCTTTGTTGTTTGGGTGTATCAATTTCCACGATCTAATATTCTAATTAAGTCAACCGCTACTTTACAAGGAACTATGTGGTAAAAGTTAAATACAAGAACAATAATGAGAGCTTTGTTGTTTGGGTGTATCAATTTCCACGACCTAATCTTCTAATTAAGTCAACCGTTACTTTACCTATAATCTAAAAGGAATGGGATTTCTACTGTGCATGGCTCCACATTTCATCTTCTCATAAATTATCATAGATGGATTGTACAAAATTTTATATTTTTTTACGGTTTGTTCCTCGAATTTTTTTAGATGATTTAATTTTTCTAATTAAAGAACAATTAGTTTTGAATAATTATGAAAGGGTAGGATTAAGGGTGATTATTTTCGGTTCGGTTTGATTTTTATTTAAAAAATAATCAAAATAAATTTTTGAAAAACTGAAAGTTTTGAATTGGAATCAGTTCAAACCGACCGATTTCGGTTCGGTCTGGTTTTTTAACATAAAAACCTGAAAAACCTATATTCAAACTGATCGGGTTTTTTTTAACAATCTTCTCTATAGCTTCTCCAGCTTCCCTTTTGTTTTTCCCTTTAAACGCCATAATTTTAAAAGTCCAATTACTTAACAAGCAACAAATCTCAAACATGTAATAACTACAGGCAGATAAAATACAGCAAAGAACAATTTCATTATTTTAAATCCATCTTCAATAACCATAAAATCATCTCCACGCATTACAAAATGGTTATGAAAGAAACTAAACGGCCAATATAAAAATTAAACAAAAAACAGACTTTTAAAGTAAAGAGCTCTATATAAATAACATAGCACAGGAACTTATAACGTACAAAACTTTAATCTTTCTTATCAGTCTTAGCAAGATTTATATCAGGAGCTGCGTCAACCTTTAAAAAAAAAAGCTCAAAACTAAGATGAGAGAAAACAAACATTGAAGCCGTGAAGATGAAGATTTGAAGCATACATTAAACCAGTTCCTAGGTTATTAAATTTGAAAATGACGATTGAAGCCTTGTTAAAGTTTTTTTAGATGATTTGAAGTCTAAATTTGGCCATAAAATTTTGTAAAGTGATGAAAAATTAATTTTTTATTAGGTCAAGAGTGAGAAAGGTTTAGATTTGAGAAGAGAGGTTTAGGTTTGAGAGTTGTGGCTAGAGGAGCAGCGGCTAGATGCAAGGGAATGCTAGGGTTAAAAGTTTAGAAATGACTTTTATAATATTTTTTTTAAATGAATCGGTTCGGTATTTTTTATTTCAGGCTTATCAAATTAAAATCAAACTGAACTGGTTGGTTTTTTAAAAATTCTAATTGGTTTTTCATGGTTTAGTTTTTTCAGTTATTTTTTTTAATTTTCTCAGTTTTTTAGTTTTTTTACTCGCGCCTAGTAATAAATACATCATAATTGTTTCTACCTAATTTTTAACTCATGTTTTTAATAAATTTATAGAAAAGTAAAAAATAGCAAAAAAAAATGAAAAACTCCAAAAATGCATTTTGATATATTTACATTATTTTTAGCATTTTCAACGTCATCTCAAAAAAATATAAATTTTTAAAAATATTTTAAATATGTTTAACTTTTAACACGTTAATTTTACAATTACTAACCACAACTAACAAAATTAATGTTTGTAATGCTTTTTTTATTCAGCACGATAATTCTATATGTAAATTTATCATTGATTATATATTCAATGAATTAATCAATAAAATAAAAATCATAAACAATATGTTATCCAACAGCATGTTTTAATTTATAATTTCATCAGTAATTTTATTACAAATTCAAAGCACAAAAGGAGTATTTCAACTGTGATCTCCAATTTTATTTTATTTTTTAAAGAAATTATATTTTGTTTCTCCCTTCCTAATCATCTCTTCTTCCTTTTCTTTTCTTTTCTTTTTCAAATGAGAGGGTATTTTAGGTTCACACATTGACAATAGACTTCTACCTTAAGATCGATGGTGGGATTCACATCATGAAGTGTAGTCGTAGTCTATCTAAAGTAAAGTGATATTCTTTGACAGGTTGCTTTTGATTTTTACCCTTATGGCACGTAGCTGTTGAACATGTGACTTCGTGAGCGCACAATTATTGATGGACGTTTGGCAGGTTGCTTTTGCTTTTTACTATTTCGATGGTATGTCTAATAATTTGATATTTCGGGTAGGTTCCCACGGTGGCTAGAAGTTCGAATGCTTGATGGACGTTTGGCAGAGTTTGTCGGTGACTAAAACCAAATTCCAGCTATTCCCGGTCAAGCAATTATTGAAAATCTAAACGTAGCTGTTGAACATGTGACTTCGTGAGCACACGTAAAATAAAAACTACATTAATAGCATCTAATAACTGTGTAATTATAATTATTGTTTATGTATTGCTAAGTTTAAAAACAAGTAACGATGATTTGATAAACTAAGTGTTATTAACATTTAAAATGACAAATATTAAAGTAAGTAATTTTTCATCATAATGTATTGTTATTTAAGTATAAGTAAAGTAATTTTTCATCTGTTGATATGAACATGAATAAGTGCAGAATTAACTAAAACAACCAATATTTGTTTTTTCATTTAATCAAAATATCCCAACTAGTAAAAATAAAAAAGAAAATATATATATATATATATATATATATATATATAATTATGTACCTCTTGTTTTTTTTTTATCAATGTCAAAAATATTTTCCACTATTAGAAAATCAATGAATACAAATAGAATCATCGACAATTTATTTATTGATATTTTACAGTGATATTTACAGAATGAATTCCTTCCATCGTTAATCTCATTCATATATACTGACAGAAACATTTCATTAATATATACAAAAAAAATCCTACTTGAATTATAAAGAATTTTAAAAACAATGTAGTGCATACACGTGTAAGTTTTTGTTAACAATTTTAGCGATTAAATTTTAGTGAGATTCAAATCTGGATATCCAACAATGACATGTTTATTATACCGATATAATTGCAAATAGGTTAACAAATAAAATTATTCCATTAATAATTTTTTACAGTGTTAACCATGTCAAACTATTCCTCTAATAATTAAGTGCTAGAGGAATATTTGAGACACTACGTGACAGCAATGCAGCGAAACTGGTTGGAGTTGCTAGATAGTGCGCAGTTTTGCTATAATCTTCAAAAATCCTCGGCAACGGAAGCAAGTCCATTTGAGCTAGTTTTGGGGGCACAACCCCAAACTCCTGCCGAGATTGCAGTGCAGATATCTGGTGGGAAGAGTCCAGCGGCATACAGATTTGCGATGGAGCGACAGGAGCTGGTTGAGCAAGCTCAAGATAGTTTGCGAAAGGC